GCGAGTCGCGATTGCCTCTTTGCGAAAACGGGTGCCAGGGTAATGGGAGCATTTATCGGCGGGTTCGATTAAAATACTAAGGATAACCGGAGCGACTTTCCAGGGAGGGAACCGATTCGACGGGGTCCTCGACTTCGGACGAATTTTAATGCCCGCCTCTTCAAGATTTCCGGAAACCTTGAATATCTCTTCAACCTTAAAACCCCAAACTCGATGCTTCTTCAACATGCATAAATTCACGAATAATTACCCTAAAGTATCGAGAATTCCAAAGAGACATTGAGAAAAGAGCCTCTAAAATTGCCGAAAAACTTGGAAATCCATGTATCTGTCATTCCTTCGCAAGGACGTCTTTTAGCTCTTCTTTATGAAGAGCATTTCTTAAAGAGTCGCGTATGAAGTGCCCTGGAGAAGATTTTCTAAAAGATGCCATCGAAGTCGTCTCGAAACGTGGAAATTTACGGATTTATCCCACCTCCAGACGTTCCCAGGCGTGGTTCCGGATCCCGAAGGACTCTCAGGACCTCTCTCCTTACTTCGTCCCGGCAGGCGTTACGTAAGTGCGGCGGATTAACGCGTTACCGCACTCGGCGTTGCACGGGTGTTCCCAGGCGTTGCGTGGACCCGGGTCCGTATCTCGGTATTAATATCGAGCGTAGGCAGCAGAAGAAGAAGAGGAAGGCGAGGAGTAAGGAGGAAATCCGACGACTTGACGCAGCGGTAGATGAGCAAAGAGACCAGGCCGACGCCGATGGCCGCCATCTTGGCGCGGCTCCCGGATAACGCCTCGCCGTTAATAATACCCAGCTCCTAATCGATCCCAAAACCTCCATCCATTCTCTCGTTCCCTCTGACAACAAGCCCCAACATCCATAAATAAAATAAAACCATAAAGCATAACCCCGAAAACCCAGCGCGCGTTTTTCCTTCTTCGCGCAACCAAGATGGCGGCGGGCCAGAACAGCTCCCGAGCGCGGGTCTCGACTGGAAGTTTCGCTGATATTTAGTGTTGAAGCTTGGAAAATGGAATAGAAAATAGCTAGGAGTTTAAATAAGAAAGTTAATGGTTTAATGGAATATTGGGCGAGGCCTCAATCGCGATTCGGTAGAGAATCGACGAGGATGAAGGTCTTCGGAGGCTGCAAGAGACGCGTCGTGGCGTCGGGCCGTCAGGTTATGGGGCGCCATGAATCAAAGCGTGCCTCTTTTCCTGGCTTCCTTGGAGCCCCTTGGGTCAAAGGTGCAAGTCGATTGTGCCCCTCGGACAGCCGCGTTACGTGTATATGCCCGGCTAGGCGCGCCATTTCCGTCGTGTCAACCTCCGCGCAAAATGGCGGCCATATTGGGGACGTCCAAGATGCATTCCTTCACCTTTACGATGGAATTCCGGGGTGTTCCGTTCTTCCCGAGGGAGCAGAGGCCATGGGGCCCCTTCTATCCATGGCGATCCATAAAATGGGACAGGATTGATTCCCGAGCTGGCGAGTGGCAGGAGTGACAGTGAATGACAGCGACTGACAGCGAATGGTAGGGAATAACGCCAAATGGCAGGAAATGCCGGTGAATGACGGCGAATGACGACGAATGGCAGCGAATGACGGCGAATGGCCGCGGGTCTTGGCCTGGACGTTTACGAGGGGCCCCGTTTACGACGGGCCTCTTCTGCTCTCTTCGGGGACGTTTTTCCATCCTTCGACTTCGCGTCGCCACCGCCAGGACCTGCTCGTAAATATCATCCTCGAGCTTCCGACGGAAGGGATTATTCGCAGAGGAAAAAAAAACGAAGAAAAAAAAAGTAGGAGGTCGCAGGATTCGATCCCTCGCCCTTAATCGCGTCGCGTCTACGGCGAGCTCCGAATTTCCTCGTTAAATTTAATTCATTTTCACGGGTTTAGGTACTTAAAAATGAATTTTAATGACTTCGAACATTAGAATTTGGCGGGAGGAATTATTATTAATATGTCGTAGATAATTTTAGAATTTAACAATTTTTTTTTCTACGGAAGCTAGATGGAGGTCTACTTGCATATGCCGCCATATTTATCAGAAGTGGCGCGTTCTCGTTAGCCCTTTTTCTCGGGACGAGAAAACCTCGGTTTTCTCGTTGCTCCTCTTTCATTCCGGCGTAAGCCGACTGGCGTTACCGTTTACAAGGTAGTAATACATATTGCCGTCACGTCCGGGGATTTTTGTCCGCGTGTAATTGGTTTAATCGGATTTTTGCCGGGCCGAGGGGGCAATCTTCCGTTGAACGACTTCAGCGGAGATTACGTTAACAGGAGGAGTAAAAAAAAGGGTCTAAGAGGCGCAGCTACGCGATGGCTTCCGGCTTCCTTATTCTGAATCGAGGGCCCCTCCCAGAGGATCGAGAACCTGGATAGATCGATCATCCAGGAGTCGAGATCCATTAGAAGGCAATTACTTCGATCGAGACTCTACCCCGGAGTCGTAACATCGAGGATTAGGCTAACAAATCGAATCGATTTCGCGATATCCGACCTCATAATCACGCGATATGAAGACGTCCCCCTTTTGGACCATCGAATTTGCATAATCGACCTGAGCTCGTTACTTGCATTTGCTCCTCCGAGGATTGCAATCGGTGCCGTTCGATAAGTACGGGGGAAAGAAATGGAATTAATTATAATCTCCTATTTCTCGCGTCCAGTTCAGGGTTTAAAAGGGTGGGTGCACTTTTTCCCCGAGATATAAAATTGGGGTTACGTTTATTCCCTCGGGTATCCACCGAGATCTGGAATAAATTCCGCGATATCCACCGCGAGATTCCCCCTCGCATTCCGGTATTTATATCCCTCGGGATATGCCAGGCATCTGCATAATCCCGCGATCTGCGATGCGTATACTTGCACCTACTCTCCCGAGGCGCGACTTGCAGCCCGATTTTCCCCCCTGAGAAATGGCCGGTGCAATTAAGTATTAATTATCCAGACTGCGCCCATTGCTCCGGCAAATAGGAAAAGTGCGCTCCCCCCCGTTGACAAGGACCACGCCGGTTAAACTGTCACCCGGCGGAGGGCGATAATAATCGCCGGCAATTAAATCTTTTTCCCCGACCGATCGCCCGATCGGAGATCGAACCTCTCCTTGGCATTCTACGAGAGGCCACGACCAGCCTCGAAAATCTCCCCTCGTGCCCGAAATAGATCGACAAATTGGGCCCATTAAGGCCCCTCGTTAAGTATTCATCCCTTGCCAGGCGAAAACCGATCGACAAACCCGCCGATTTATCCCGATATTAACGTTAATTTATATTAAATCTCGAATCAAGAACTCGGACTAACGCCTTGTAAATGCATTCTTTAAAATGTGGAAATATTAATGGTACGGCAATGACATTTAATTCATTATTAAATCGATGTGTCAAATCTTAAATGTTAAAATGACCCGATTAAACGGAACGGAGGGGAATTTCATTGTTTCGGATTTTTAGCGATAATTTCGCTCGGGGGAAGAAAAATTATTAAACGCGATAGAACGAAGGAAGGATCGCGATAAATCGATCGGTAATCGAACCCGTACTGGTCCCGACAGGTTTGCAAATTTTCCAGCTTTTTCCATGTATTGCAAAATTCGCCGCGCGCGACTAATTATGTCCAGTTTCCGTGATCGGAAATCGATTGATCGAGGCCTTTCGCAGGATCCTTCTGCCTTTTAAGAGTAACTAGTCGCGGCGCTAATTGCACCTGGAAGGTACCCTTCATACTCGAAGACCGAGAAAGGATCGATCCTCCGAAGAGGTGACGTTATCACCAGGATCGACGGTGGATCAACCTTGAAGGATCGATTTTTATTTTCCAATCGATCTTAAGAGCTTCCTGATGGGGCTGGACGAGGAGGAAAAAGATTCTCTTCTTCTCTTGATGTGACTACATCTTCTGAGTAAAAAAGAAGAATAAACAATACAAATTTCAGAACTACGAAAAATTTCGGAATTTTCCACAACGAATTTATGCGGCTCACACTTGCGAAACGTGCAACGGGTCTGCTACGTGTATCAGATATTTTCTTTTTGTTAAGAAGTGAGTTATTATTATTATTATTATTTCATAAATTAGTCAAGGATACGGAGTAAAACTGATGAATTCGATAATTCTCGGCTTGGACGTTATCGGCAACATCTGAGATCGGCAATCTCGGCAAAGCTCCCTCCTTTCCACGGTGGGGCCTTTTTCCAGGGGTTTATTATTGAATATCCGCGGATATTAGACAGTAAATGGATTTGATAACTCACGCCAGAGACGTTATCGGCACGATCGCCGATATCCGCGTCGATAACGTCTTCGATACCGCCAGAACGATCAGCGAAGGTCGGAGACTTTCCTGCGGCCGCTCGCAGGGATAATTGGTGACCCCAATTAAACGATAGTTATCGCGGGTCCCGAGAGATCGAGAGACAACGGTTGTGCGCCTCTTCTTTTATCCCTTGCTAACTTGGAAAATAAATCCCCGAACGGTGCCCCTCGAGAGAAGGCGAGAGAAAAAAAAACGGAAGAAATCGGCGCTCCTCGAGCCGTTGGGCCCATCCCAGAGTTTTGGGCCCGACGGCGCCCTAGGCCCTATGTCGGGTTTTAATTCAGTCCCAGAGCCAGGACCTCCAATCCCATCTCTCCTGCAGGCGATTGAAGGGAAATCGAAATTTCGTATGCAAATGAATTCCTGAACGGGCCCCGGGACAAGGCGTCGGGCCCAGGAGGGACCCGGAGGTTTTTGTACCCTGATAGTCCTCCATTTTTGTCCCCTACTCCTGAGCTAGAGATATGGGCCCGAATAAGCCGGGAGGCAGGTGGTTGTCGGCCCGAATTTCCATCGGACCCAAATTCGGGGCCCAGCGACAGCCGCTCTAGATACGGATTTGTCCGGAACTTATCAGCTCGCTTGTCTCGCGGGGACTTATCTCGCGCGAGTCAGGGGCCTCTTTCAACCGGACTCGTCTTGAATTCGCAATCTCAAATTGACACTGACACTTGATTGGGACTTACGTGTTCGTCCACGGAGTACGTCAGCTCCCCGTCGTCGTACAGGACGAACCAGCGCCGCTGCCACCTCTGCAAGAAAAATAAAAATCCCATTAAAAACAAAAATATCGACGAGACCAGATATTCTTTTACTCTTAATCCATAAGGCCCAAAAATTGTGTCCAGTACGGAAAAGTATTAAATCCTCGCGATTTTGACAATTTCTTATGAGAGTTTAAGATCCAGAAATTAATTTCTGGTTTCGTCGTCTCCTTTCTTGATTTTTTGTCATTTCTTGCGGGGACTCATCGGGCCCAAAAATTGAAAATGCAATAGCGAGTCGGAAAGAAGGGGCCTTTCCGCTTTCTTGGTTTCTGGGACTTCGGAGGGCCTTTTTATCTTCTCGATTTTGCCGGCCCAGAGCGAATGGGCCCCAAGGGGCCTGACCCAGAAGAGCTCTCGCGCAGGCTCGAGTTCATCGTGACAATTAACAGGTAGACTGTTAATTGGGGACGAGGTACACCAGGTGCACCGTGGTTTCTCTTTCCTTCGCGCCTCTAAGACACAATTGACACCTCGAAGCCCCTCCAAGTAGGCGTACTTGCGTAAGTCCCACTTCAAGCTCCTCGCCTACAAGGCGGAATTTCGAGATCGGCCGCCATTTTGTCCCCGACGCCCGTTCCTCCCATCAAATCCCAGAACCTCTTCCTCCATCCAAGACAATCCACTTTCTCCGGTGATTCTTTCCCGGACGAGCCCCGAAGAAGATGCCGAAGAACAACCCCGGATCGCTTTCCCCTGTTTTGCATACTCGAATATTAGCAGGCGAATGAAATTACCATAAATCAATTATCGACTTTCCGGTGATCTCCTTTTGTTCAAAAATTCATCATTAATTCTAGAATCAGGAGAAATTGAGGTTAACTTCTTTTCCGGCAGGTGTCAATTTTTCCTCCAATTTTTCCGGCATGTCGATAGGTGCAATTTCGGGATTTCTCCCGATCCCCGGCAGATCGATCGGAGAAATCCGTTCGATCTGATCGTTATGCGCATGCCTTATCGAGCAGCTCGAAAGATCAAACACTCGCTCCCCCTCGAGGTCGAGGATCGAAAAAAGCTTAAGGCGCTGTCGGGACCCCGGCACGTCCCGACATTGGGCAAGCCGATAATCGGCGCAATTTCCGATCGACGTGTCCGAGGGATCGATCGGTGAAGGGATCGAGGGATCGATCGCGAGGCCCGTGCTCCGGAAAGCCTCGAAAACCACCGCGATCGTTAACTTTCAATCGGCTCGACCCCGAAGGTTTCCCGACACCTTCGAGGTGGCACGTAGGTGATCTTAAGATCGCACTTTCGCGGGTGCACTTTGAGGTGCAATAAGCACCGCTCCTCCGATACAGAATTTCCATTACGCCTCTCTCTCTCTGTCTCTATTTCCCAACCGCGAGTCCCGATCGATCCCTCAAATCTCAGGATCGAATCTATCCGTCTGGAATCTAAAAAACACCTCCACATAATTTATTAACTTATTAAACAATAAATACTCTATCCCATTGCCTACTTTCTACTCTCACGGGCGAGCGTCAGAAAAAACTGGGAATTTATTTTAAAAGCGCAAAATAAAATGCGATCGTTTTTCTTTCTTCCATTTCGTTTACTTTTTTTTTTTTTTTAAGTTCAGACTATAAAGTAGAAAATCGCATAAAGGGTATCTGAGGGCCATAAAGGGCATATCTGATACTTTCCAAGGAGCGGGAAATAATTCGTCGTAACGAGGTCTTCAAAATGATTATCAAGGCGCTGAATTTTTGAGTACAGGTAAATTTTATAATTCTTGTTTTCCTTTTTCATTTATTTATTATCTTTTGTAGCCAAGGGTATAGAATAAAAAATCGCATAAAGCGTAGTTCTCGCGAAGTTCCCAGGGCCTCTCCAAGGAGCGGGGAATAATTCGTCGTAACTTGGGTACTCGGATAATGGACGAGCCGTGGACAAGATCTACGTCGAAGTCTCGAGGTCGCGATCGACCACGAAGTCGGGGTAAGGACTTCGGGGTGTCGCGGCTCTCGGTGTGCGTTCTCGCCGCATTGTATGCAAATCCCGCGGGTGCATCGCGCGAAGTTCACGGCTCCGTGAGTGCAGGCGCACACGGCCGCGGACCTGGTGTTGCACGTCGCCTAACTTAGCCTCGTAACCGCGTAACGAGCGAGGAATTTAGCTCGCTACGTTACCGAGGATAGCGAGGATTATTCCCATAATCGGTGCGATAATTGCCGACATTAATTTCCCGGCCTCCGGTAAACGGGATGCACTGGCTGCATCTTCGCGCCTAGGCGACTGCACTGAGACGGATGGTCGCATCTAAATGCGACTTTCCCGCCAAAAAGCATGCTTTTATGCATCCCAGGTCGACGTGAATTTTCTTATCGCATACTCAAAGGCTGTAATCGATATGAAAAATATATACGTAATGATATCATGATGACAAAAGTGCAGTCATTCAGATTCCATCGAGTCGTTGCGACCTCCTCGGCTTCCCGGGGAGTTCCCAGACGCGTTTCGCCAGGGGTGGGTTCCCATGGGGTTCCAGGTGCACCAGGTGCAGGAGAGCGCCGAGAATAGGTGCACGAGGTACCGTTGCACCGAGAGAAGAAGAAAGAGTGAGAGAGAGAGAGAGAAAGAGCGCGCCTACGCGAGGCGGTGGTATCTTCATCTGGTAATTATTCACGCGGACGCGGGGCCCGGCACGTGCGTGGGAAGATCTCGAGGAGGCGAGGGAAGCCGAAGAGGATGACGAAGACGCGGGAAGAAGAAGGAAGAGCGGGCCCGAGGAGAGTACCCCGGATTTCCAGGAAACTGCCGGGCCGACTCGGGCCGAGCCGAGCTGAGAGGACCCGGGAAGAAACCTTGACCTACCGCATCTTCCGGGTCTGGACCCGAGGTCGTTAACACTGCCCACTCGGGAGACTTTCCGGTCCGACCCGTTCGTCTGGCCCAATACGTTATCCCGAGTCGCGTGGACGCTCGAAAAATGGACGCCTTTCCTGATACCAGCCACCCCGGGTCCACGGGGCCCGAACGGGCCCAAACGGGCCCCGAGTCGAAGGTCCGGACCCTTAAGACTGCTCCGAAATATCCCGCCGATGAAATTTCGCCTCCTCCGATATCAGATATTATATAAGATATTCTAGGAAAATCGAGAGTTATTTACCGACGAGTTCATTACGTGGAAAGGAAGGATTTGGGCCTTATTGGCGACCTGACGAATTCGGATCTTGCCTAACACACAATCCACAAAAGAGCATGGATTCCCACTCGGCCTGGTAAGTGCAGAATCTGGTGAATCATCGATAATTCCTCCCGGAAGAAAGCGCGGAAAGTCCCGGCATCTTTAATGCAGGGGTACGATAGTAGCCGAGGAATCGATAGGGCCTAATGGCGAGGCCTCGCCGAGAGGATGGCGTGACACGGCGCCTTCTTCGGCGTTCTCTTCTGGTTCGCTCCTGGTCTCTTCCTGGTCGCCGATCGACGCAGATCGGCGGTACTCCCTTCCACCACTTCGCGGCGATCCATTGGAAATCCCGTTTAAGTTCCACCCTACATCGTAAGTCCCAAAGAGTCCCAAATCGGAAGTTTGAAGATAGGTTGAGTGGTTAAAAATCGACAGCGATTAAGGCCCAATAATTTCCTCGTTCAAGATGGGGAATTACTTAATTATACTCGGCCGAGCTCCTTCCGTGTCGGTTTCGCTCACGATCCGGGGTCCCGTGGGGTCTCATGGGGTCCCGTGAGGCCCGTGGGTCCCAGGTCCCGAAGCTCTCTTTCGCGTGCCGATCGATGACCGATCGCGCTCCTCGAGAAAGCGAGAGCGCGAAAGGTCCCATCGCGGTTAATTAAAGATAGCCCCGATAGGTCCCGAACGGGCCCAGATGGGCCCCGATATTCCGAGCCCGGCTTAGGTGGCCTCGCGTGAGGCCCAACCCCTCTACGCAAGGCTCGACTCTCCTGACCGATGAAACTGGGCCCGCTCAATTTCATACCGCCAATCCCTGAAAATCGGTAACCTATTCCCGAGCTCGTAGACGCCCGAATTGGGCCCACTGGCTTTCTCAAAGCTTCCCATTCCTAGAAAATGGAGAATGACCGAGACCTCGGATATCTCTAAAAGTATCCTCACCAAGCCCTGTACTCGATTTTTATTTCCACTTCCCGCGGGGCCTTATACGTTTCTTTTACATTTATATTTTAACGATCCGGAAGCACCGGCCATAACGGCGGATAAGAAAGGGAAAAAGACTGAGAAAAATGCGAAGAGGTGAGCGCGAAAGTGGGTCGCGAATTATTAGCGAGGATCGTAAAAAGAGAGGCTCATTAGTGCCCGACGATTATTCCATAAGAGGACCTTGAAGAGCGGCACCGGAAGTGGCCGACCCACTTGCCCGGTGGCAGGAACCGAAATCGCGGATGGCGGAAATGGCCGCCGAGTGCGGAAAACTGGAGGTCGGAGGATCCTTCATGGTCCGATGACAGGACTGCGCTTTTGTCATGGGATAGTTCCTCTCTATACGATGACGATGACAATGGACGTCTCGTTTCCGGCGTGCTCGTCGGGACGGAAATTCAGGTTTCAAAATCCCGGAAGCCGCGTCAGGGGAATGAAATTCCTGGTTTCGAAATTTAAGGACGCTCACCACTCTAGTGATTTTGCAGGGCCTCACGGGGACAACGATTCCGAACGTGTTTCTAAACCGATCGAGCTTAACGAGTGCTCATATCGAAGATGAAATGTTGAACTGTGTCTATATGGAAGCGATTTTCGATAAGTGGTCATTTTCATATAAAAAAGTGCAACGAAATAATTTCAATGCCCTTTTAACTAGGAAGGAGGTGCTTCATCGAAAATCGCTCCCATATAAACACACGTCAACATTTTATCTTTAAAACGAGCACTCGTTGAGCTCGATCGGTTGAGAAATACGCTCAAAATCGTTGTCCCCGTGGAGCACCATTTTCAGGATTTTCAAGTTTCTCGCGAGGAATTTGGGCATTCCTTAGCAACCGTTGCCGACTCTAGGCGGAGCGTCCAACTG